AAGCGAAAGGGAAGTGGCTATAACGAAGATGATGTTATCCAAGAGGCCCACAAAATCCATGAGAACTCATTCGGACGATTCACCTTCTACGAGGAATGGATCCAATTAAGGAAGTGGGACAAATTCCGGTCTTTCTTGGACCAACAAACATTCAAGCCTTCGGTGGGACGTCCACATTCAACTCCACTGACGGATGAGTCTGTAGGGAGCGGAAGTAGTGGGAAGAGGACACGGGATGAGGGTGACAATTCCTCACCTACCACACCAACCAGCGTGGGTGTCGGTGATGAGAGAGTAGCTCGTGCTGAAGGTATTAAAAAAGCTAAGTCGAGATTGAAGGGTAAAGCTCCATCAAGTCAAGCATTTAAGGAATTAGAAACATTCAACAGCCGATTGCAGTTACTTGGGGATTCGATGAATGTGTCAAACAAAGCAGAAATGAAGAGACTTGAAATACAGGAGCGCAAGGAGGCAAGGAAACAACGGAAAATTGAGCTAGAGCAATATAGGATCAACTGGAAGCAACTATCTCGTCTAGAACAGAAAGTAAACCGAGAACAGTGGGAAGACGAAATGATAGTAATACTTCGGAACAATATTCAACGTTTCAATAATGATGCTTAGTGTCCTTTATTTTTATTGTAGTTAAGTGTGTTCAATTCCTTTGTTGTTCTTCATTTTCAGTAGTGATAAGTTTTCAATTCCAGTTCAACCTCTTGTACTCATTTCCTTATGTTTGTACTTTATCAATTAATCAGTAAAATGGATCTTTTCCATTTTCCCATTTTCATAGCCCATGTGATCTTATTCTGTTTATTCAATTATATCAATTTGTCTCTTTATATATAATTGTGTCAGTATCTTAATTTCCCCTTTGTTAGCCCATGTGAAACCCTTCTTCTCCATTCAATTTCTGTGTGGTTCTAATCCAGTGTTGGTCATAGCCCATGTGAAACCCTTCTTCTCCATTCAATTTCTGTGTGGTTGTAATTCATTGTTTGTCATAGCCCATGTGATCTTTGTCTCTTTATATTCAGTTATTTCTGAAGAAGAATTACAAATTAGTTCACTATAAATAAACACCATTCTTTCATTTTTTTACACACAAACACATAAATCGTTTGCAGTTACTATTAGCAAACCTCACTCTATCTTACATTTCTTACGTACAAAATGAATTCAAACAGTTTAAACGAAAGCTCAACCGATTCCTGTTCATCTTCATCTAACTCGGATGATGAGGGAAGAGAGCTTAGAGTTCAACAACGTAATGAAGTGTGTCTTATGATACAACACGTAATGCATGAGTACATTCCACCAATTATTCAAGCTGCCACTCAGCAACGCCGACGCAAATCTACTGAGCCCCGAAAGGATAGGGGACGCGAAGAAGGTCATGCACGGTTATACAATGACTATTTCGCGGAAGTCCCAGTTTATCCAAGTTCCTTGTTCCGGCGCCGGTTTCGAATGCGTAAACATGTGTTTGAGCGCCTTCTCAACGCAGTGACCCAACATGACCCCTGGTTTCAACAAAGGCGAGATGCGGCAGGTCGTCTTGGTTTGTCTCCACTTCAAAAGTGCACTGCGGCCGTTAGACAACTAGCTTACGGGTGTGCTTCAGACGCTTGTGATGAGTATGTCCGTATAAGTGAGGCAACTTCACGATTGGCACTCCAAAAGTTTACAGAAGGTGTCATTAACCTGTTCGGTGATCAGTACCTACGCCGTCCAAACATCGCAGATATGGAAAGATTGCTACGTATTGGGGAAGAACGTGGATTTCCTGGCATGATAGGCAGCATTGATTGTATGCACTGGGAGTGGAAGAACTGTCCACACGCATGGAAGGGGCAGTATCAAGGAAGAGAAGGAGTTGCAACTCTCGTACTGGAGGCAGTTGCGGACAGAGATCTATGGATATGGCATTCGTTCTTTGGGATGCCAGGTAGCTGCAACGATATTAATGTGCTTCATCGATCCCCTGTGTTCGAAGACGTCTTAGAGGGTCGAACACCTCCTGTGAACTTCGTAGTCAATGGTCATCATTATACGAATGGGTATTATCTTACTGATGGAATCTACCCTAGATGGGCTTCTTTTGTGAAATCCATTACGAGTCCACAAACTCGTCAGGATCGTTTATTCGCAAAACACCAGGAAGCTGCAAGGAAAGACGTTGAACGCGCATTTGGGGTCCTTCAAGCTCGTTTTGCCATTATTAAAAAGCCGTCTTTGGCGTGGGATACCGACATACTCCACAATATCATGCTCGCCTGCATCATAATACATAATATGATCGTTGAAGATGAACGAGAGACGTATCAAAATAACGTTAATACCAATGAGTTTATGAATGCTGGAGGCAACGCTAATGAGGACACTACCGAGTACCGTACTGATCGTATTGTGGATATCGGCTTATACTTGTCTCGTAGAACAGAGATTGAGGATCAACAGACTCATTTGCAGCTAAAAAACGACTTAGTCGAACATATATGGAATAAATTTGGTAACAACGAAAGCTTAGGCAACTAGGTTTACAACAAATGGTTATCCCTAAGGACATCTTACAAAACGATGTGTAGTTGTTTTTTTTTTAAATAAAATGTACTAGATTATAGTTGTAGAACTGTAATCACGATTTGTACCTCTTTTTTTTTTGTTAATTAAAATTAGCTGCGTTGTTGTTTAAAAAATATTAATCACAAGAATTAGTTTTTTAAAAAGCTGATAAAAAAATGCGATAATTTCTTAATTAGTAATCACGATTAAAATATTAAATACGTCAATTAATTACATTGACATCGGGTTAATAAATTATAATTATGAAACAAAAAAGATTATATTTACAAAAATAAAATAAGGTGGGGTAGGGCAGGGGCGGAACTAGGGTGGGTTCAAGTGGGTTCATTGAACCCACTGATTTTTTGAAAAAAATTTAAAATTTTTTTTTTTTAAAAAAAAAAAAAAAATCAAAATAGGTTTAAATAGAATATTTGTGTATTATATGGCAACAAGTAAAGTTGTAGCCCAGTGGTTATTTTTACCTCCCATCACACAAGAGTTTGTGGGTTCAAAACCCATAACTCACACTTTTTTTTTTTAATTTTGTTTCCTGAGCACTGAGCTTTCCTGCTTCCAGAGTTCGCTTTCCTCTTCCTCATTCCCCCAAATTGCAAAACCCTAACTTCTTCCTCCAATCCTCCTTCTCTTAATCTCTTCCCGTTCTTCCTCCTTCTCTTCCCGGCGCAGCACGGCAGCAGAGTCAGCAGAACACGGCGGCAGCGGCAGGCCGGCAGCGCACCAGCCACTCACCCAGACCCAGCCTCACAGCCGTGTATGGTGTATCGGTGTATGTAGGGGTAAGTGAATTTGGGGATTTTTTTTTTTTGCAAATGTAATTTACTTCTCAATTTGGGGATTTTTTTTGCTAAATCATTGAATACTTGAAAATTGAAATTCATATGCTAAATTCAATTGCTAATATACATTACGATTTACGAATTGCCAATGTTTTGTAAATTGCTGAAGTTTGGATATAATTATCTAATTTACTTCTCAAGTTCTCAATTTGGGGATTTTTTTGTATTTCGTATGCTATTTTCATATGCTATGCTATTTTCTGCCTTTCGTTTCTGCCAATTCATATGCTATTTTCTGTATTTCGTTTCTGCCTTCTAGTTTTCATAATTTCATTTGCTATTTCGTTGATATGGGTTTGATTGATGAATATTATAGATCTTAGAGATAATTTATTTACATTGTTATGTTTAATATATGCTAATTTTTAATTCAATCGTGAAAATTTGGCCTTTAATTATTCTGTGTTTGAAGCATGATTTTGAGTTAAGTGATGTTTGGCGAACACTCTTTGATAATTTTATTTGTATAATTTTGAGTTCAGTGATGGTTTTGTATTGCTGATTAATTATATATAAAAAATTGAAATTAATCCTGTGACATGAATCTACTACACAATTTAACTCTAACTAAGCTACATTGAATTGAACATTTTTATTGTCGGCACATAAGAATTCTGTCAAGCCATAGCTAACGACAGTAATCTGCTACAATAATCTAAGTGAGCAATCAGAATGAGAAAAGCTTCGATAGTGAAACGATAATATTTAGCTACTTGAACTTAATATCCCTATTTGGTTAGTTTGGCAACTTATCAAATGAGAAATAAATGTAAGGTGGGATGTTGATCCATGTATTGGGTTAAGTCCTTAAGCTCTAGCGATGCGTGAAAGGATACAATGAAATATCATGGCCATTATCATTATTTTTCCGTCATTAAGTTAATATGTGCTGATTGTTGGCCTCTTTGACTAGTTGAATCCATATTTTAACTCTATAACAATGATAGTATGTAGCTTATTCAGTTTAAATAGTATATGTGCAATGTAATGCTTACTTGCTAATTAGAATATTGTAGCTTTTTTTTTAATGTTAACTTGTAATTTATTTAATGTGTTGCTTCTCTGCCATTGTATTAGCTTGATCAGATTTTATCGGTTATAGCTTTTTTTTTTTTTTTTCATTTTTCTATGTGTAATCTATTTGTAATCCATAGTTTGAAATTATTTATGTACTGAATATTTAATTATTGTATTTTTATTCCTTTGTTAATTATGATTTCAAATTTCGGAAGTTTCGAACCCACACTTCGAAAATCCTGGTGACGCCACTGGGGTAGGGAGTATTGATGATGAACCATTGTTTAGTGTTCATTGTTAAGAGTGAATATTGTAAATGGTTTGTTGGGTTGATGTGGATGAGAGAGAAATGGTGATAGTGACCATGAACCATTTTTTTTTGTGTTCACCAATAATGATGCTCTTACTGCTGTAAAAAATTGGTCTCTTCTCTCTCTCTAGAAAAGTTCGTGGCCGGAAAACTCGTCGGAAAAGGGTGTTCAAAACATTGCCATAAAAACGCGAAAAAGGGTGTTCAAAAGTCGTGATTTTTGGTCTCGATTCAGCACTTGTCTTGCCATGGCAGGTAAACCAAGCTATGAATTTTAATAGAAAGTTTCAATTTTGAATTTAGGGTTTTCTGTAACAACTAGTTTTTTTCTTTATAAGGTGGCAGGAGGGGTGGTAGGGGAGGACGAAGAGGTGGTCGGGGTTCGCAATCTGGTGGCCGTGGCTCGCAATTTGACGAATATACCCCAAATTCTGGCCGTGGTGCTCAAACTGGTGGCCGTGGTGCTCAATCTGGTGGCGGTGGTGCTCAATCTGGTGGGCATGCAAAGGTAATTGTGGCTTGAGTATTTAGTTCATGCAAAGGCAATCTGGTGGGCATGCAAAGTAAAATTGAATTTTGTTGATTGTTAAAATGGAATTTGTGTTTGTGAGTAATCCTTGAATTTGTTTGTTATATTTATAATGTGGTGTTAAAATGGAATTTATAATCTTGTATATAATGTGGTGTTAAGAGTAACTTTTCAGATTATAACTTTTTATTCAACTACATTATATTGCATGTCAATAAAGCCAAATTGATTGTTCAAAAATTCCACACACACACATAGTTGGTGGGGGTTAACTATCTGTCTTTTCTATCTTATGATCTGTCATTTAAAAGTTTTATCAACTCAATTCTCTTTACTTCTGTAATCAATCTTATCACTATAATTTACATGCAAAATATGCATTGCTAATTTATTCTAGTCAGAAATTAGCTAATTATTGTTTAAAAAATATTGGTAACTGTTGAAGAAAATTATTAAATTCATCTCTGTTCCCATGTCATTGAAGGGAGAAAATTATTAAAATTTGTATACTTGGGAGCTCAATATCAATATTAATGCACTTATTACTGTTATTAGTTAATACAATGGTCTTGTAGAATTTCATTTTCTTTTCTTTTTAGGTAAAGAAAACAAGAGATTTGGTGATTGTTTCAGAACTAATTCCGTGATCCAGGAATCATTTTGTAGAATAAACTATGTAAACTGTAAACTTCTTTTCAGGAAGGCCATGGGATTTGGTTGTTAAAAAAAAAGTGGGGTTTGATTGATCAGAGGCAGGAAAAAAAAACATAAGACAGTGAGAAAATGAGATTTTATATAGGAGTAAGAATTTGTAATGATATGGGACTAAAGGGCGAAGAGAACAAGAGAACTACTAGATGCATTATTTTTCAGTACTTAAATGGTACTAAGAAATGCGAAGACGCATAGCTTAGCTTATAGCATAGAAAAGGAAGTACATGGATTATGACTAACTAATCTTAGATAACCCACAATAACCACCAACTGCATGATTTCCAAACAGTCTTCATTAAAAAAATGGACAACACAAGTTATTATTAACTGCATAGCCTCTAAGGCTCTAAAAGAAACATGAAAGAAGTGTGAAGTGTATTTTAAAACTAATATGTATCAGCTATCCTACATTAGCTACTGGCTGTTATAACACTTCAAAATTTAAGTAGTATTATTAAGGCCTAGCTATAAACTTAGTATTATAAACTAAAAACACAGCTAGTCAGAGCTTAAATACTTGTACATTGTAAATTGACGTTTCAATCTTATACCGATACAAGTACTATTTCTTGGTTCCCAAGTTGATAAGTACAGAATAGACGTGTGACCTATATAGTCACTAGCTAAATTTAGAGGCTCTATAGACAGGGCTCATCCTTTAAGCTTGTCAGTACCAAATTGAGAGCATTGCATAAATAAGGTTTACAATGAAATGTAGGAAGGATAAAGAATACACTTACAGTAAAGAGGATTTTAGGATTTTCAGTCTGTTGAGGAGGAGTTCTCAAAAATTCTTGAACTAAAACTTGTGATGCCAACTCTTCATCAGTCAATTCTCTTATAGTATAAGATGGAAGCCATTCTTGAAAAGCTTTGCAGCCTCTTGGTGAAAAAACATAGCAGGCTGAGGAGTTTTTAATTTTGAGCCTATATCTTCTACAAAGTTTGCCTTCAATACTTATTGATTATTTCTCAATTTTGAGCTATTATAGTTTGCCTTCAAATTTTTAATCTTTAATCCAATATGAATAATTGAAAGGGGTGGTGTATATATTGTTTGATGGCATATTTGTTTTTTGTTTTATAGGTTTGTCAGAAAGTTGATGATGCTGTGTACAGGGTGAGTTGTTGATTTTGTTGACTGTGATAGTGGTTTGGCTTTTATTGGACTTTTGTTGAATATATTATGAAATGTATTTGTGTAGGACAATACACTTAGTGAGGGTGGTAAGATGAAGCAATTGGGTAAAGTTATCGAAAGAAGCAAGGAGGAGCGGACAAGGGTAAATGTCTTATCTTTGTTTGTGGTTGATGTATTGTGGCATGGCTTTGTCATGTTTGTTGTTCTTATTGTTTTACATTGTCTGTGCAGCCTGAAAATGTAAATTGTCGGGTGGAGATGTTTGGTATGATTTTGAATGATTTTTGTTACAAAAAGAGGAAGCTAGTTAAGGAGATGGGATTTGCTGGACTATTTGGTTTGATTGATAGGAGACTTCCTAGGGAGTTGGCTTATTGGCTTGGTACAAGGGTTGATGTACCTAATAATTGCCTTGTTACTCCGGATGGGCTAGAGTTTACTTTTGACCCTATTCAAGTACATTTGGTTCTTGGCATTCCAATGGGCAGTCTGCTGGTCCCCAAGGATGTAGTTACTGAACAAATGAAAAATTTTGTTAAAGTTGTTGTAACTCAATTCAGCACGACTACACCTAGCAATGTGCAAGGGATACCTAGGAAAAATTTAGTGGAAGCAGTTTCGGGTCCACTTGAAAATGTTGATGAGTTTAAGGTTGCATTCCTGCTTCTGGCCTGGTGGATGTTCTATGTCCTACAACATCTCATTGGCTTTGTCCTAAGCTTATAATAGCAGCCATTACAGCAAATGACCCTGAGGCGTATGATTGGTGCACATTAGTCCTTGATCAACTTATGTATGCTGTTAAAAGCTTTGCCAGGAGGTTTTACCCAACGGGGTATTCCAAATCGCTTGGAGGGTGTACAATTTTTCTTTCAGTAAGTTATATTGTTTTGGTAATGATATCTCCATTTATTTTGCAAACCATGTTACATGATGACACCATTTTGTTTGCAGATAATGTATCTTGATCGGTTGAGACGACCCCTGTGAAGTGGGGAGTTTTTCCTCGGATGACTGTTTGGACAGAAACCGAGATAAGAAAGGCGAAGAAGGCTGATCGTATTCCGAATGGGGATTTTGGAAAATTAGGGGTAAAGTGAACATTAGTATTATGTCTAAAAAACTGAATAATGTTTATATTATAATAAATGAATGATTGAGTTTGGTGTTATTTGTAGTGTGTGAATGCGGCGTACGGTAAGCCACATGAAAGGGCTGCAATGGACGTTATGTCGGTTAAAAGAAGGGTCGGTGCTGTTGCTGTTCAGGTATTACTAGTCTCATCCAGAGAGATGGTGCTAGTGGTATAACATACACTAGGATGTCTATATAAAGACTATGATTCCAAATGTTCAAAAACATGATGTAGTATAAATTATTGCATATCCTTCAAAAAGAGGAAGCATGAACAAAATTATACAAAAAAAGAGGAAGCATGAACAAAATTTAACAAAAAAGAAGCATGATGTAGTATAAATTATTGCATATCCTTATAAATTATGCTATGCCCTTTTACAAAAACAAAATTTGTGGGACTCTCTATTAGCATTTTCACTCTTGGCACTTTGATTATTAAGGCCCTACTTAATGTCTTTGAAAAGTATGAATTAAACCTTATTTTTCATATTTTGTGCATGTGATTAATTAAAATCTTCCATTCGAAAAAAATTCTCATCATATGCTAAACTTTGACTATTAATCTTTCTAAATTAAACTATACCAACTAGCCGTATATCATGCTGTATATATATACTATATTATTTTTACTCGTGTGTAGAAACATAAGATCGAAATGCATTATTATCAAAATTCATTAAATTATATGAAACATCGCTTAAGCAAAGGTATACATACCACAATAGATTCAGCCTTGGGATCAAGTTTGTGCAACTGGGAGGGTAAAGGGTCAAGTGACCCAGCCATGTGAGAATTGAGGTTTTCAGTTAGAAGCATAAAGATTTGTCCAGGGGAATCAAAAGCAACCTTCTAAGTGTTGTAATCAGATTTTCCACCTCTAAAGAACCAAGTAATCACTTCCCTTCATCCCTTTGAAGACATGTCCTTGAAAAAGGAATTTTAATGACTGAGGATTGAGGCAAAATATAAGCAACTGTCTGAGCACTAGCTCTCCAGCAATAAATAATTAAGCATTAGCATTATAGGGAAACAGTACACTTGAACAGGCCATGGACACCAAGTAAAAAAAAAAAAGGAAAAACGTAACAATCAGATAAACTTCAGAAGTCCATTTCAAAAAGTGAAACTAGATTGTTAGTATATAATCTTTGCAATTCTCAATTTTAGTGTTCTGTTAAAACACAATTTTTCTCTCACAAAGCTTTTATAATCTCACCAAGTAAAAGATGTATTAGTTTATATATTAACTGTATTGAACGAAAAACTTTCATCTAGGATAGGATAGGATTGGATTGGATTGGATTGGATCGAATCATAATTCAAATTTCGGTTTGGATTGGATTGGATTGGATTGGATTGGATCGAATCATAATTCGGATTGAGATTTCCGAAACAGAATGAATTCATGATCGGAATGAATTCGGTTTTGGCTATATGAATTCGGATTGAATTTGGTTTTCGCTATAATCCAAACCGCATACCAAACTTTCACCCGTTTCTATCCATGACAGAGTTTGAAAATATTTTGTCTTTCAAAAGAAAATTGAAAAATCTGTTTCTTGCAATATAGTGATTAGGGTTAGGATTCGGGTCTTTTACGGGTTTCATCAACTTAGTTCGGTTCAAGTCATTAATTTGCGAGTTATAATCAAGTCCAGGTCGAATCATTTCTAATTCGGGTCATTCTCACGTTGAAGTCGAGTTCGACCCTTCAACTCAATAATTTCAAAGTGACTAACCTCTCAAATTTCAAAGTGAAATATTCTCCGTGTTCGAGTAAGGTTCGGTTCAAGTCATTAATTTGTAACTAACCTCTCAAATTTCAAAGTGAAATATTCAAGGAATAGAGTTAGGATTCAGTTTCCGTTCCAATACCAACATGAGATAACAACATGAGAAATTCGAGTCGGGTTTCTAGGAGATTGGGTTTGTAGCAGGTCGGGTTTGTAGCTAGAGTCGGGTTGGATTTGTGGTCGAGTTAGGAACAAGTCGGGTTGAATTCCTGTTTTGACGGGTTAAAACGGGTTTGGTCAAATTTCAGTTCGGGTTAGGTCGGGTCTGAATCGTGTTAGGTCGGTTTTTCGGGTCACTCACTGATTTTAAATTAATTTCAACTTTAACATGCCACCTTTTCAAATCCCTAAATATTTGATTTCGTATGAGTTGAACATAAATGATTCTATTTTTAAGTGGTAACAAGTAACTGTATTTTTAATAAAATTAACAGTTTTGATTTTAAAATAACTGAATTATAGTGAACGACATAACTGATTTCATTTTCATTGCTTAAATGTCATACGAGACATAAGTGATTTCATTTTCATACGAGACACTACTACATCAAACACTTTGTTTCTGCATTAGGTTCTAACATTTGATGCCCAAAAAACACAGAAACACTTTTACACTTTTAGTTATTGTACGACGGCCCACTAAAGCTTCCTGAGAACGGCAAAACATCACGAGCAACCCATTCGGGACAGGACTGAATAGACCTTGTAAAGTACCCAACTTCACCATATGCAGGGCCATACCCTATTCCACCTACCCACATTGTCGGAACTGCAGCTTGAGAAGCCTGAAAATGCCCCTGTGATGAGTAAAACACCCTTCAGATGACAAAACCATTAACAAAAAACATAATGCCATATTTCACAAATCAAGTTCATACATGCATAATAGTTGCGGGTTCCTGATCTTTGTCCTTCCTTCCTCTTTTTCTTTTTGGCTTAGGAGCGTTACATTGAGGCTGAACAACCTGAGTTATCAAAAAAAAAATATATAAAATAAGATTAAAAAAAATTTGAACAGATTAAGCATAATGCCATAAACCTACATATTTTAATCAACATCAAAACATTTTTGTGACTTCATATCTCATAGCGCATATAAAACATAAACAAAAAAGTTAACGCATATACCCCATTGTTTGGCACACTATGTGTGGGCAATGAATTCTTGGCACATTTCTCAGCAAATGAAACGCTTAGCCCTCGGTCGGTGTGCTTTTTTCCTAGAGATTGGATCGCCAACAGACAATGGCTTCTGCACTGATGCTGGGGTCAGGTTGTCATTCACAGAAGAATCATCATTTGCAACAACTATAGCTTGAGCTGGAGTGTTAACTACGGGGTCAATGGATATATCGTCTAAACCCAAAGCAGAACTGACCATACACGATCCCGCAAAATCAGAGGGCGGCACGGTACCTATCCCTTCTAAATCCATATTCACCGAAGGGGAAGATTCCATAGTGGCAGCTTCACTACCAACACTTTCAGCACCCTTATCACTTTCCTTTAGCTTGGCTGCATTAACACTTCCTTTTTCAATTGCAGCACCCTCCTTATCACTTTCCTTTAGGATGGCAGCATCCAAGGATTTTTCCAGCTTGCATATAGCTTCAAACACCATTTTAGCATACTCTGGACGAGTTGCTGCCTTAAGACAAACACCGTCAAACTGCACCATTATTCTATCATACCTCTTAACTTCTTCCGTTTTCGTGGGATCATGGTATGCCACCTTAACCCGCGTGTGACGCCTATGGACATCTTTACGCCACCGCCTCAATATATATTTTGAAGGGACTTCCTTAACCCAATTATCATCAAACACCTTAAACTGATGCCTACACATGATTCCATGACATTCGAAAAGCTTGCATTCACATGAAGCGCCACTTGTTTCAGAGTTGAATGTTACAGTGTACACTCTCTTCCTATCCATAGGAATTTCCTTTTTCAGTTGTTTATCGTAGAACCAAACCCTATCTTGAACCAAATGTTCAACAACATTGTTAGACACCTCCCTTTTCCCAACAATGCTCACGTACATTAGCCTGGCGCATTGCTCCTGTACCTCGACGAATTTTGCATCTGTGTACACCTTCTGAAAGGCTTTCTCAAATGCAAAACCAGTTATCACATGCCACAATCTCCTTGCACTGTTCGCATCAGCTTCTTTCTCCGCATTGGACCTGTTTTCCATGGCATCACAGTACCTCTCCGCAAACTGGTACAAACGCGTGTCACTCTTCACGTACATGTCAAAGAAGCTGTTAAGTCTTTCTGAACGCTGAGTGATTTTCATCCCTGCCCAAAATAGGTGTTTCATGTAGGCAGGGATCCACATATGCCTCTCTTCATACAGACCTAAGACAAAAACAATAAAATAACAACGCTTAACTTGTTTACCAGTCTGCCAATATTTGCTGCATTTTTCAATCTAAGTATATATTAATATGTTAAACACATCATTCTAATATCAATTTACAATTGCTACTCATAACACCCACATAACACTAGTAGAATAAAGCAATTGGCCACCGGTTCAAAACCCCCCTATGCCACCGGTTTTAAACCGGTGGGCATTTGGGGGGTGGCAATAGTCTAATGCAAAGCCACCAGTTCAAAACCGGTGGCAAAAACAAGTATTGCCACCGGTTGCAATTATGCTTCCCGCTTTTTTTTTTATGATATTACATATAAATGCCACCGGTTAACCGGTGGCAATAACATACTTTTTTTTTTTTTTTTTTTTTTTTGTTTGTTTATTCTGCTATTTGCTACAATAATAATAATAATTAAAAAAAAACTCTGTAAAATATAAGGCAAATAACATCACAATCAATATAAGAGCGCAATGAAATATACTCACATTTATATTCAAATAATAGATTGTTACTGTACAATAAAAAAAATTTTACAATGAAGTATTAAGTACAAAAAAAAATTACAATGAATTATACAGTACAAAAAAAAAATTACAACATTAAAAAATAACAATATTCCAAAATGAAACTCTTGAATCCAGCATCAATTAACACCTGCATCAATTAAAACCCAGAAATTAATAAAACTCAAAAAAAAAATGTGAAAAAAACCCAGAAACTCATGCATGTATACGGTCACCCGCAAAGGATGAAACAGAAAGAGAAAAGGCTTAAAAAAAAACAGAAAGAGAAAAGGATGAAAACCCAAAATTTTCGCCCAGTGAAACCCAGTAAATTCGAAAATCAAATAACCCAAAAATTTCGAAAATTAAATAAACCCAATAATTTCGATTATCAATTAAAAACAGAAAATTTTCGATATAAAAAACCCAAAATTAAAACAGAAAAATTTTGAAATCAAAAACCCAAAACCCAAAAAACAGAAAAATCAATTTCGAATTCCACCAAAAATAATAAAAACCCACCCACCATAACCACAACCACCACCAAAAACCACCACAACCCATGAACTCCACCAAAAATAACAAAAAACAAAATAAAAGTAAGAAAAAAGAGAAATTACCTCGAATTTCAGCAAAAACCCCCGAAATTATCTTGAATTTGTGTTATAAAGGTCTAATTCGACCATGAAAACTCTAGATCTAGAGTTTTCATGGTCGAATTAGACCAGAAAACCCATATTTTCATCACGAGGAGAGAGTAAGTGCGACAATAAGCTTGATGGTTAATGGCGGTGGTTGTTGATGCGGCGGTGGTTGTTGTTGCGGCGGTGGACGAGCCGAACGAAGGAGAGAGGAAGATACCGCGAGAGAGGGAGAAGATTAGGGTTAAGGAGAGATAAAGAGAAGAGAGATCAGGATAGAGGAGGAGGTCGACGAGAGAGATTCAGGGTAGAGAGAGAGAGAACAGAGAGGGGGAGTAAGAACGAAGGAGATAGAGAGAAGGAGGAGAGCAGGGGGAGAGGTGATAGAGGAGAGAGAAGATTACAATGGGGTGGGTAAAAAAGAAAAAGGAGGAGAGAGAAGTGACTCTTTGCTGAACAGAACTTACCCGCGAAAAAGAAGACCGGCGCCGGTGGATGTTTGGCGATTTTGGGGTTAATTTCCACCAAAAATCTGCAAATTTGGGCTTAAATTCCACCAAAAATCTGCAATTCCACCAAAACTTCCACCTCAAAGTGGCGAATTTGGGCTGAAATTCCACACAAAATCTGCAAATTATCCACCAAAACTTCGACCTTAAAGTGGTGATTTTGGGCTGAAATTCCACCAAAATTCTGCAAATCCTCTCGTATTAGCACCAGCACTTCCTGGAATACCTCTTAGGTTGTATTTGACGGTTACTAAAGAAACAATGGGAGCTATGCTAGCACAAGAAGTAGAAGGCAAAGAAAACGCAATCTACTATCTGAGCAAGAAGATGCTCGAATACGAAGCACGCTACAGACCACTTGAGAAGTTGTGCCTCGCCTTGGTGTGGGCCACAACCAAGTTAAGACATTACATGTTAGTGCATACCGTCTTCGTAGTCTCCCGATTAGATCCACTCAAGTATCTATTCGAGAAATCTACACTCAATGGACGCATATCGAGATGGATAGTCAATTTACCCCAGTTTGATGTAAGGTTTATGCCGCAAAAAGCTATCAAAGGATCTGTGGTGTCAGACTTTCTAGCAGACTTTCCAATAGAAGACTCGACGCCAATACAAGACAATGAATTTCCAGATGAAGACTTAATGATCACTGAAGATGATACTTGGACCTTGTACTTCGACGGAGCCTCAAACCAAAAAGGATGTGGCGTTGGAGTATTACTAGTATCACCTAAAGAAGAGCATGTTCCAATCTCCATAAAGCTTGATTTCGACGTTATCAACAATGCTGCTGAATATGAAGCATGCGTGGTAGGCTTTGAAACAACTTTGACATTGGGAGTAAAAAAGTTGAGGATATTCGGAGACTCTTCTTTGATTATCAATCAAATATCTAAAAGGTGGAAAGTAAGGAGCGAAAGTCTAGCCCCTTACCAAACCTATCAGGAAACCCTTACCGATCAGTTAGAGAAGGTAGAATACACATATCTACCTAGGGAAGAAAATCAATTTGCTGATGCCTTGGCGAGACTAGCCTCAATGGTTAGGAATCCCACGGAAGTTGAGCAAATGCTTGTAACTAGAGAAAAAAGGCACAAACCAGCATACATCCAGGCTATAGAAGACGACGAAGTAGTCCAAGACGAAGAAGAAGAAGAAGAACCGTGGTACACGGATATACTCAATTATGTCACCAAAGGAGAATACCCTCCCCATGCTGACAAAAGAGCAAAACGAGCATTAAGGCTTTTGGCTTCCCAATATGTACTCATAGACAACGAGCTACATAAAAGGGTACCTAAGGGTCGAGCTCTCTTATGTGTAGGAAAAAAGGATGCACAAAGAGCAATGAGAATAGTCCACGAAGGAATCTGTGGCACGCACATAAATGGCAAAATGTTAGTCCAAAAAATAATGCGAGAAGGATATTATTGGACTACAATGAATAGGGATTGCCATCAATATGTAAAAAGATGCCCTAAGTGCCAAATATATGCCAATTTACAACATGTTCCTCCATCCTTGCTCTACACCTACACATCGCCATGGCCATTCTCTACATGGGGAATTGACATCATCGGCAAAATCACTCCCCCAGGAACAGGAGGCCACGAATATATCTTAGTAGCAATTGATTACTTCACAAAGTGGGTCGAAGCGCAATCATACGCTAAACTCACTGCAAAACATGTAGCACTCTTTATCGAGAGAAATATTATTTGTCGATACGGAGTCCCACATGAAATGATAAGTGACAATGGAACTCACTTTCAAGCCGAATGTGAAGAATTGTTACAAAAATATGGCATTCAACATCATCATTCTTCCCCTGATAGGCCTCAAGCAAATGGAGCAGTCGAGGCAGCTAATAAAAATTTAAAGAATATCATCGAGAAAATGACGGAAAATTATAAGGATTGGCCTGACAAACTTCATTTTGCAATGTGGGGTTACCGCATGTCAATTCGCACATCAACAAGAAATACGCCATTTTCCTTGGTTTATGGAATGGATGTCGTACAACCTGTCGAACTAGAGATTCCATCTCTACGCATTGCGTCAAAGAGTAAACTCGATGAAGTTGAACGGACTAGGGCAAGATATGAAGAATTAATTCTACTCGATGAAAAACGACTAGAAGATCTACATCACACTCAGTGTTATCAAACTTGTATGGCTAGGCATTTTAATAAGAAGGTCAAGACAAGAAACATCAAAGTAGGAGACTTGGTGTTAAAAGCATTAAGGAAAAATGTTTTAGATCCAAAGGGGAAAATTTAGACCTAATTGGTCTGGATACTACATTGTCAAAACAATCCTGTCAGGAGGTGCAGCAAAACTAACTGATATGGATGGCAATGAGTTCTCGAACATGACAAATCTTGACCAACTTAAGAAATACTACCCATAATTACTTGAGTAGGATACTCAAGAGAGCTACGTTTGGCCTGATTCCTTAAGAAAGGATACGTAGGCAACCCTTTACGGGTGCGGCCACTTTATTTTCCAAAAAATCTCGCATCCTAGAATTAATTAAAAATTCGGCAGAAGATCGGCGAAATATCGGCGTCACGGAAAACGTTCCAGCGCTTACAGTTGAGCATTAGCGCCGGCGTCACGAAAAACGTTCCAGCGCCAGCAGTTGAGCATTAGCGCCAACTGACGACCATCAGCGCCAGCCGACGGCACCGTCGCTTGACGCCAGACTTCCCTGGCCGGCGCTAGTCGCAGATAAGCGGCGCCAATTCACAGTTTAAATTCTAGGAATATTTCGGTGTTTTTCGGAAAATTTTCGACTTCCGTACTCGAAGAATTTCTGGAAAATTAATTTTTTCGGTTTTCATTGCTTTAATAAATAAATTTAAAGTAAATAATTAATTAAAAGCTGAAATTTCATTAATAAAATAAAATTACATTATTGATGGAATTTTAATAAAGCTGAAATAAATTAACTTTAAAAAAAAATATAAACTAAGTCTAATAATTGGAAATTAATTAATGCTCCTAATCTTTCTTTTCTTTCCTAGCCCTTTTCCAATTTTTGTCTGCTTCCTCCTCCTCATCCATAACCTTAGCTAGTAGACATCCTTTAGAGGACCTACACTCGGTCTTAGAGTAGATAGTTTCCCCTTCAGCTAGAACTCCATGCTTCTTTTCTACCCAACCTTTTTTCTATGTGGTGTCAACTTTCCTTTTTCCCTTATCTCTTGTAGTACTTTTCTTCCTAGGCATTGTAGGTGTTTTGAATTTAAGTCTTTCACCTAAGCGTTCCTTAACAGGAACCACCTTGTCACCTAGACAACTTTTCACATCAGTTTTACCCTGATTTTTCTTCGAGTCCTTCGAAGGTTTCTTCAGCAGCCACTTCTTCACATCATTGGGCAAGGAAGGAGGAATCTTTTGGGTAATTACTTCCCATAGAGGTCTGGAACTCCAATAAGCTAGTATCAAATTTGTCTACTTCCTGGGAGACAGGGAACTCGTAGGGAGGACGAAGATCTCCGGAAGGAATATTCTTAAGTAAGCCGTATTGTCTTTTTACCCTGCAGGGATAGTAATAAGTCATACGGGACAAACTTGGAAGACGGCAGAAAGGTTGCTTGTTAACACCAACCATCCTTTCTATTTTCCACCAAGGGATGAACCACTTGATAGCAAAATTGCGAGATTCGAAGACCCTCTTCCATTCGTGGCGTCCCATCTTAGAGAAGCGTTTCTTCCTCCTCACGAAGCAATTTGGAGTATACTTCTCAATGTTGTCCGGAGGGCTAATTAATTCTACCCTTTCCATTAGCCACATCTGTAAAATATTGCAATGCAAATAAATTATTATTACTATAAAAAATTATATTTTTTTATTTTTGTAATTAAAAATATTATTTTTCTACCTGTAATAAAATTGGAGAACCTTGAAAAGGTGCTTTTGGGTTCCTTTTCATTTCATCAAGACTAATCATAGTCTCTCCAACTATCAATGGCATTGGATTTCTCCCTGATTCAGTTTGTTCTAATACGGTGGTTATAATTGATTGACCCTCATTATTTTTACCACTACTAAGAAAAAATTGATTAAGCATACAAAATAAGAAAGCCCTTCTTCTATATATATGAAAAGATTCGGAGTAAGTTTATCAAAATAATGGCGAAGAAATTATTTCAAATTAACTATGTTGCCATCTACTATTTTTGATAGATCCCTTTCTTTTAAATTGAAGAAGCGTTCAAAATCCTTGTAATAATATGCATCTATTCTAGGGATTACTATGAGGTCTATTGCAGGGAAACCTAAAATAGCACCAAATTCTTCCGGCAAAGGGCTAATTTCATCATACCTTATTCTAAAGCAATGAGTATCAACATCTCAATATTCTAGAGCGGTATGAATAAAATCTAAGTCAAGATCCACCCCTTTGATACCATAAATTCCCCCCAAGTGGAATACATCTAATTCTTTTCTTTCTTTGGCATTAAGAGACTGACACCATTCAGGGGTGTATTGGGTAAAAGTTTTGGTGACTAGAGACATGATATTATTTTTCTAAAGCTAAGAATTATTTTATTTACAAAAATTATGAAAAGAATCGGCTAGGCAGGGGGCTATTTACGCACGAAATCGGAGCAGTTTTAATCTGGGAAGGATACGGAGTCAGCGCTATTTGGCGCCAGTCGCCAAAGCTTGGCGCCAAACGCTAAGTGTAGCGCCTGACGCTACCCCAAAACGCTAAATTTGCCTCGTCATACGCGCTTTTTAAAACCGCGTTTTTACCTTAATTCGAGTCTAATAATGACTTTCCGGCTTCCTTATCTTTTTCTAAACATCTTTTTATTCTTTTTTAATTAATATAGCTATTATATTATTTATA